TGTAAACATCTCTCTGTTATTATAATTTTTATTAAAGCAGGAGCAATGGAACCAGACAATCTCCCCTCTTACCCAATCCAATGTGTACCTGTTAAGTGGCCCATGTCATAATTCCACTTCCTCTGTCCCATGGGCTGTGGAAGGGAGGAGAATATATTTTGAGAGCAGAGTATACTCAATAAAGGTATAAGAACCGTACGTACCAAAAATGTATTTAGGATGCACCTTCCTACTCTTAATTAACTAATTTGGACTTTTCATTTTTTAAGTTCACATAATTTGTCGCAAGGGATCTATATTTATTTTGTTTATCTCTTGTACATCTCACCAAATATGTTTGTGCTGTATAAATAAAACTCATAACTGTAAAATGCATTAAATAGTTTGGTAACCACTAAGAAAAAAGAAGAATGAAATAACATATAAGAGAAAAAACATATTATGGAAAATATTCCACATTTTGTAAATGCCAAATAACAAAAGAAAGTGATATCAAATCATATCGGCCAAAAATAACATGGAAACCCTCAAAACAAAGAATTGATTTAAAGCAGTTCTATCCATGGAGAAATGTCCAAACAATACAATGTCTGTGCTGGGGTTGATGAGAACATGCAGAGAGATGCCAAGATTACAATAATTACTTTAAAGACTAATGTATTCCGATGACTATAAAATTAATAAGCAATCATAATAAATCACGTGTATTCAATGAATACCCTTGTTAAAGCTTGGTACTGCTTTAGATATTAGATCAGTTATTTCCCAAAATACCCCAAGACAATATCTAAATTTCCTCTTTTTACAAACACTGATTTATTTTTAAAACTGCTCTGTTACTGCTGAATATTACTTGGTTACATGGGCAAGTGTTAACTCCTTCACGGCGTTAATTGTGTTTGCCCGATTTCTTGGGTGTGCAGGCATACTCCCTATATATTTTCTATAGTTTAACAATTACAAATGAAATAAATACACAGCCTCCACACACATAATCAACCCTCCCCCCACCCGCCACCCCACTAACCGTGTCGCTTGATCCGCAGTCAAGGATGCACATACACACTGATATACATTCACAGATGCACAAGGATACTCACTTCCAGACACGCATTCTCAGGAACATACATACTACAAAATGTAGAACACACGCAAGTACCAGTACACACAGGCCAGCCAGGCACACACTGTTATTGCGTGTCTGTACTTGTCAACATGCATGCCTGTGTATCATTGTGTGTCTCTGTGCAATAATATGTGTGTTAATGTTTGCATATATGCGTGTGTGTATTAGTGTGTGTATGTGTGCCTGATTTGTGTTTGTGTCCAGAGTGGCAACATGGCTTTAATGTGTGGGTTATTATGGTATGGGAAATCTCTTTCTCTCTATCTACCTTTCTACCTATATGTGTATGTGTGTGTGTATATATGGGATAATGTATATGTTAGAGGATTATAGACTATGTGGGGTAAATGCCTATGCTGCATATTGAGAAATCTTTATTATTTATTTACAACACTGTTTTCTTATGTGTAACTTCATTATTTGGTACATGATTTTTTTTAAAGAATTTTCTGTCCAACCAAAACTGTAGTTTTTTTTTCTATAAATTAAATAATGTGCTGTCTGTGCATACTGAAATACAAAATATATATAAACATTTCTTTTCAGGACATTGGAAATGCCCAGACTCTGTGGGTGGGTTTTTTGTTTTTTTAAGCAGGGCAGGGAAAAAACTCCTTGTAGGAACTACCGCAAACAAGTTGTAATACGGTATTTCAATCTTACGTTTAGTTTTATGTGACTAGTATACAATTGTCCACCAGTAAATATAAGAAAGATCTACATACAAAATCAATTTAAGGGGAATTAACAAACATGTATTTATAAGGTGTAATTATGAGATGTAACAAAATTAAATTAAATGCAGAAATCCCCCCTTTTTTATCATGTAACTGGGCTCTTCTATCTTAGTCCCCTTTCAATCATTATGATAAGCACTGTCCTTTGCACTGGGCAGTCAGCATAATGAGAGCATATTGAGAAGTCTTGTTTAATGACTAGGAATGCAGAAGGTGTTCAAAGGCAGTGGCGTACATACCGCGGTCGCAGGGGTTGCAACTGAGACCGGGCCCATCATTCCAGGATGCCCAGCCACCCTGCGGACCCCTGCGACCGTGTATACACAGCCATCTTTTGCGGCCCCGGCCCAAACCGCCAGCCCATCTTTCAAGGGGTCCATCGGGTGGCCCATGCTGTCAGGACCACCCGATGGATATGGATTATCAGGGGGCCTGGTCAGCGCTGGGTGCTTTAACAGTGCGACCGGGCTCCCTGTGATAACATCACTGCTGGGAGGAAGTGACTCCCCGGTCACTCCTCCCAGGTATCAGAGCCTGCATGGGAGGAAGGAGGAGGGAGTCAGAGTGGGCTTGGCCCCCACTGGACCCCAGGGAAAGTCACAAAAGGTAGGAAACAGGAAACATTTTGTATGTGTCTGTGTGTGTTTCTCTGTATGTGTGTGTGTCTGTGTCTCTGTATGTATGTGTGTGTCTATGTGTGTGTGTTTCTGTATGTGTATGTGTGTGTGTCTCTGTATGTATGTGTGTGTGTGTCTGTGTCTCTGTATGTATGTGTGTGTGTCTCTGTATTCTGTGTGTGTGTGTCTGTGTCTCTGTATGTGTGTGTCTGTGTCTCTGTATGCATGTCTGTGTGTCTCTCTGTGTGTGTGTGTGTGTGTGTGTATGCGTGTTTGTCTGTGTCTATGTATGTGTCTCTGTATGTAGGTGTCTGCATGTGTGTGTATGTGTCTGTATGTATGTATGTGTGTGTATGTATGTATCTGTAGGGGGTGTATGTGTGTCTGTCTGTCTGTGTGTTTGTGTGTGTGTGTGTGTGTCTGTATGTATGTGTCGGGGGGGCACAGATCGGGGAAGAGAGGGGAGGGAAGGTAGGGCCCACGGATCAGTTTCGCACCGGGGCCCCATGGAATGTGTGTACGCCACTGTTCAAAGGTATCAGAAAAGAAGCAGAAAAATTGCTAATCTCAGTTCATGTATAAGTGGTAGCAAAAATTTCCTCAAAATTGTATGTTTTGCCTATTTCAAAGTTATAATATATAAATCATGGTAACATGTTTTATCCAAGCCAGAACTATCAGTTAATATATCATTTCACACAATTAAGTCATGGTAAACTAGCTCAATTTATCAGAGCCCAATGGGCTTTTTGTTTGGCTTTGCAGTAATGTTACAACAAAAAATATTTGTTCCCATATTTAATAATTATCCCTTTAAAGGGCCCAGGAGAATCCCAAACACAATGGCCTGTTAGATGGCCAACTATTAAAAAATAGCCCAGTTGATTGTGCATCTCCTGTGTCCTTTATGGGTGAAAATACATTTTTTTAAAAAGCATCTCAGAATGCTCCTGGGTAGAGTTGAGCGAACCCGGACTGTAAAGTTTGGGTTCGTACCGAACATTATGTTTTTGGGACCCCGGACCCGAACACAGACATATCACTGTATGTTCGGGTTGGAGTTCGGGCAGCCATCAACAAGCGTTTGACTTGTGTGCCCTTAGAAGCCATAACAGCCATGCCTACTAACGGCATGGATGTGATTGGCCAGTGCAGCATGTGCGGCCTGCACTTCATATCTGAGAGTCAAATAGAAGCGTCAAATACTGTGCTTACAGCGTAATTGTAAACATTCTTATTTTCTGGGTGCTAATCTGCTAAATAGTACATTAGTGGGATGCACTTCATATCTGAGAGTCAAATAGAAACATCAAATAGTGTGCTTATAGCGCACTTGTAAAAATTCCAATTTTCTGGGTGCTAATCTGCTAAATAGTACATTTTGGGGCGTGCACTTCATATCTGAGAGTCAAATTGAAGCGTCTAATAGTGCGCTTACAGCGCAGTGGTAAACATTCTTATTTTCTGGGTGCTTATCTGCTATCTAGTACATTTTGGGGCCTGCTCTTCATGTCTGAGAGTTAAATCGAAGCGTCTAATAGTGTGCTTACAGCGCAGTTGAAAAATTCAAATTTTCTGGGTGCTAACCTGCTAAATAGTTAATTTTGAGGCGTGCACTTCATATCTGAGAGTCAAATCGAATCGTCAAATAGTGCGCTTACTGCGCAGTTGTAAAAATTCTAATTGTTTTGATGCTAATCTGCTAAATAGTAAATTTTGGGGCCTGCTCTTCATATCTGAGAGTCAAATCGAAGCATAACTTTGATTTGAATTTACTACATCGGTCACTTGTAATATTGTTTCACACCTACAACACTTGTTACACAGATCTAAGTGATAGCAAACAGATTGTTATTCTGGGGCAATACCCTCACAAGTCAAACTGAGAGGTCAGTTTATAGGGAAAACTGTTGCCTGGATACAATTCTAAACACAATTTCCATATGTCCTTTGCAGACTTTACATGCTGGAAAAACACAGGTGTCAACTGCTGTGGCTTTCTGCAGTGTGCATAGGGCTGAAGTGGGTGGCGGTAGGATGACCGGGACCCAGTAGGTTGATGTAGAAGTAGGTTTCAGGAGTGCGCTGGTCGCACAAGGTCAGCACAGTAACCGGAGCAGGGTGCAAAAGTAGCAGCGGCCACCCTAGTGTCGTGGCATGTATTATCTTGTGCCACAGTTATAAAAAAGCATAAAATACCATAACAGTTTACTGAGCCATTCGCAGTTTTGTGACATGAGGGGACGCTGTCTGTGCATGCGGTCGGTTCTCACCCTATGCTGTCGCCTTCTGCGCTGCTGGAATGCATTAGTAGGGTCTGGTGCAGGGTAAGCCCACTAGATGTTGAGGGCGTTTGTATGGCCACATACCAGGAGCAGCACTTCAGTAGTGGAATTTCAGCTGCAGCACGCACGGGTCAGTGGCTCTGCACCAGACTTCCTGTCAATTGTCAGAGTTGCTGATTTCAAGTGGACTCATTACAATTACATGGCCTCTAAAGAGTCCTGTATTGTTATTTGTCGTCACTACCTTCGGGAGTCGGGAGTGGGTCATTTGCGCACCTGCTGCCTTCCTTGCATGTGGTAGCCATTTGTCAGGGTCCCTGTATGGAATCGAACCCTGATTCCCCGTTATCTGTGGTCACCATGGTAGGCGCAGTCAATAGCATCGAAAGTTCATATGGATTGACATGTGAATGCGTCGTAGCCTTCTCGTTGGGGAGCACATTGAAAAAGTGCTCTAGCATGACGAGCTGGGTGATCTCCTCCGGGAACTTGGCTTGATGGGAGTTGAGCCAGTTCTGGGTGGCCCTTGTGGTGTCACGGTGTATACCCAGGTATATCAGAGCTGCTGCAGAAAGTGCGGACCGTCTGTGTGCGCTTTTGGCATTTTCACCCTGCTGCTGCTCACTTGTCTGCGCTGCAACATAACTTCGGCCTTCCCGCTCACCGCCTCATGAGACTGTGCGAACAGCAGCAGGCGATAGTGGAGTTTCAGATGCAGCACGCACGCATCAGTCGTTGTGCGGAACAGTTTTCTTTTTTTGAATGTCCCAATATTTTGGGGGCTACCCCAATTAAAATAAAAAATAGATATATATAAACAGTGTTTGCTTCCTCCTCCTCCTCCATCGCCGCTTCCACCGTCACCGCCTCCTCAACCTATGGGTCACTTAGTATAACTATGTACACAATAGCAGAGGCTTGTGAGGGCCTTTTCTCCATGCATCAGGAGTTGAGCATTTCTCCATGCATCAGGACTGCAAGAAATACACTGCAGGCCGCAAATCTTTCTTTTTTTGTATGTCCCAATATTTTGGGTGCTACCCCAATTAAAATATATATATATATAAACAGTGTTGGCTACCTCCTCATCCTCCACCGCTGCTTCCACCTACACCGCCACGGTCACCGCCTCCTCAACCTATGGGTCAGTCACTTAGTATAAACTAAGTACACAATAGCAGAGGCTTGTGACGGCCTTTTCTCCATGCATCAGGAGTTGAGCTCAGTTTGAACAATGAAAGAGAATACCCTGCACTCCATGCCTCTCTCAAATGGATAATTCTGGTGATCCTCCTGACAGCCATACTTTAGATTTTGATTTATTTTCTTCCAAAGCTAAAATCAAAGATTCCATCTTGTGCTATTTTATGGCTCAGCTGTATTTTTAATTTTTATGTTATTTTAAGTGATTTCCCTATCCACATTTGTTTGCAGGGCACTTGTCCTACTCTTACCCCCATTTTACTTCCTATTGCAGCCCTTTAGCCCTTTACAGGAGTTTTTTAGAGGCATTTTTGTGGCCAAAAGTTCAGGTCCCCATTGATTTCAACGGGGTTCGGGTTCAAGGTCAAGTTCGGGGTCAAGTTTGATCACGAACCCGGACTTTTTTTCAAAGTTCGGCCGAACCCGCCGGACCTGAACATCCAGGTGTCCGCTCAACTCTACTCCTGGGCCCTATTTATATCAATCTTTAATCATCACGGGACGGAGTAAAGGGACAGGTAACTCCTGTTTTCTTGAGGGTGCCGTGGGACTACATAAAAAAAGTGTTAATGTTTTATTTGGAGAGACTCAATCAGTTTTCTCAGTTAAAGGAATACTATATTGTTAGGAATACAAAGCTGTATTCCTACCTCTATAGCCCTCTTATCCTACCTCTGACCAATAAAGGGTTAAAAAACATTTTTTTACTTGCCTGATTCCAGCACTTGGGCAGTGCTACGCCTACTCTGATGGTATCTGATGGAGGAACTAATGCGCATGCGTGGCGTGGCATTCAACTGATACTTGATATCCTCTAGCATAGCGTGAGGATGTCTAGGATCAGTTAGGCGACTAAAATTTGCCTAGCAAACAGGAAGTGCCTCTAGTGGCTGTCTGGTAGAAAGCCACTACAGGCTGGCTGAGTGCTGCAATGTAAACATTGCAGTTTCTATAAAACTGCAATGCTTTACATTGCAGGACAAAGGGCGATAGGGACACTGCACACAGACCACTTTAATAAGCTGAAGTGGTCTGGGTGCCTATAGTGTCCTTTTAAGAGAGTCGATTGTGCTTCTCTTATAACATGCTAAGGTCTCAAAGACATTAACATGTCTTTTTTTTTTTACTGTTTATAGCTTCAAACAATAATAAAGTGTTGCTGCTTGAAGCTGTAATTGTCCATTTTATGTCTATGATTTTCCAACCATCACTTTTTATTGCTACTTATGCTAGATAAATAGATTTACTGGCTGAACTAAATTACACTCGTAAATTAGAATGCAACTCATGATAGTATATATCATTGATCTATAAAATGACTCTTGATTGTAATTGATCTGAGGAGCATTGCAGTTCTTTACACCAACAATAAAAGGAAGATGGGAAGTTTATAAGCATGCGTTACTTCAGATTTTTTTTGAGAAACAAATGCAATGGTGGAACTGGTGCAATAATTTTTTGGACCCATTCTAGCACAAGAATAGCCAGGTGTGCTTTTGTGTGCACTGTTGGTGTGAATTAAGGAGTTTTTGTATATAATTTTAGCGGGTTATTACTCACTTTTGTTGCCAACGGTTTAGACATTAATGGCTGTGTGTTGAGTTATTTTGAGGGGGCAGCAAATTTACACTGTTATACAGGCTGTACACTTACTAATTTACAGTTGCAAGAAAAAGTATGTGAACCCTTTGGAATGATATGGATTTCTGCACAAATTGGTCATAAAATGTGATCTGAGCATCAGCTAAGTCACAACAATAGACAATCACAGTCTGCTTAAACTAATAACACACAAAGAATGAAATGTTTCCATGTTTTTATTGAACACACCATGTAAACATTCACAGTGCAGCGTTTTGTGAGGCGAGAGAGAAAGAGATCATGAAAGTTTGTTGCAGCAGAAGTGTTCCAGAGCTTTATACAGTATCTAAAATGAATAAAAAAATATTTTTAACCCTTTCCCTGCCAGATCTGTTACAGCAGTGCATTTGTACTGTCTGTATTTTTTAGGGATTGCTGTTTAGTCTGTTTTAATAAAAAAAAAAGTATAAACATGTTTTTGTGTGTTTGTAATTTGTTTTAGTCGTGTGTAAAACATGCAGCGTATGTATAACTTGCAGGAGGCATATGCCTTCTTGGCGTCAGACTCTGACGCCGCTGACACTGCGTCAGATTTTGACCCAGGTCAGTTTTCTGACACGTCTAGTCAAGACGACATGTCATCTGTGTGTGAGCCGGCTGAAGAAAGAAGCTGTGCTTCCTCTACTATGCCGAATGTGGAGGAGGACTGGGTACCTCCACAGTTAGCCAACATCCCCCCTTTTAGTGCCAACGCAAGCATTAATGTTTATGTGGATGGCTTCACCCCCAATGCAGTACGTAGAACTATTTTTAGGGGATACCGTCTGGGAGGAGATTGCTTCCCAGACTAACTTGTATGCTACCCAATTTATTGATAACAATCCAGGTAGCTATACAGTCAGGGAGCATGACTGGCATCCCACAGATGTCCCAGAGCTTAAAAAATTCTGGGCTCTTACAATGCTCATGGGGATTATAAAGAAGCCATTGATTCGCTCATACTGGAGCACCAACCCAATAATGTCTAGTCCAGTATTCTCCCAAACCATGCCTAGAGCCAGATACGAGTTACTGCTGAGATTTTTACATTTCAGTGACAATACCCTCTGTCACACTAGAGATCACCCCCAATATGATAGGCTTTATAAAAAACGCCCACTGCTAGACCATTTTCAGGACAAATTTTCGGATGTTTATACGCCCCAACAAAATTTATCCATAGATGAATCTCTAATGAAATACAAAGGGAGATTAGGGTTCAGACAATACATCCCCTCAAAGCGCTCTAGGTATGGCATCAAACTGTGCGAGAGCAAAAGTGGATACACGTTTGCCTTTCGTGTATATGAGGGGAAAGATGGTCAACTGGACCCTCCTGGCTCTCCTGACCCCCCTCTGGACATGTGGGAAACTAGAAAAAAAATACAGAAACGTTGCTGGGTCTGTTTTAAAAACGGGAAAAGGACAGACACCCCTTCACACTGTCCTGATTGCCCTTTGAAACCAGAACTGTGTGTAGGAACATGTTTCAAGTTGTACCACACAGAACAGTTGTAAGAAGTGTTCCTGAATTTTTATTTAATTTTTTGTTTCTTTGGAAAGCAGCCATTTTTTTTAGTCAGTTTCCTTCCCCCAAATCTCCAGTTAGATTCTATTTGCAGGAGTCAGTTTAAAGATTGCTGCTAAATGTACATTTGCTACCTGCACATTTGGTCTAACAAGTTTTCTGGCATTAACACATAACCAGCTGGCCAAAACCAGATGACGTGTGCATAAAAACCAGAATTAAAAAATTACCACTACACTTTCTTTGGGGGGCAAAATGGTTGGGGTAAAGAAGTCAAAACACCCCATCTTCTATAACCTTTGATGCCTACTTTATAAAAAATATATAATATATATACTGTCATGATGGTAACATTAACTGGGGGGTACAAAAATATGTCAAACTGAAGATAGACCAAGCATACCTATATATCAAGTTGAAAAACTGACATGTACAAGTTCTGATTGTTGCCTTTTGCCCCCCAAACAACCCAGCAGCCCTATACATGGGGGGTATTACTGTACTCAGGAGATGTTGCTGAACATATTGGGGTGTTGTTTGGCAATGACACATAACAGGATCTGTTAATTCATGCCTAAAGTACAATGTGTGTGACAAAGAAACAAAAAAAAGATTACTAAACAAAAGTTTGACAAAGGCTGGTGGTAGAATTCAGTGCATGGAAAGTGTTAAAATACCACCATTTAAAATACCCTGGGTTGTCTACTTTTCAAAAATATATGGTTTGATGGAGGTAAAATACATTGGCTCAAATGGGACAAGGGCGCAGGTTGACTACATGTCAAAATTCCAAGTTGGGAAACTGATGCCAAACATGGCCTTTTAGCCCCCAAAGAACCCGACAAGCCTATACATGGGCGGTATCCCTGTACTCAGGAGATATTGCTGAACATATATTGGGGTGTTGTTTGGCAGTGACACATAACAGGATCTGTTAAGTCATGCCTAAAGTGCAATGTGTGAGAAAAAAAACAGAAAACAATTTACTAACTCAATGTTTGACAAAGCCTGGTGGTAGAATTAGTGCATGGAAAGTGTTAAAATACCACCATGTGAAATACCCTAGGGTGTCTACTTTTCAAAAATATATGGTTTGATGGGGGTAAAATACATTGGCCAGC